CGTATACGAGTAAACGAGTAAAGAACGAGCGCCCTCTATATTGCCACGCTCCACCGACACCAATCTCCTGTCTATTAGTATAAGGTCTATGCATACACTGCAGCGGTATTTTTTTTGTCTTGGTGGTTAAATTGTGTCCGGGCTCATTTTACTGCTACCGCTACCGCGACTAGGGCTGCGCAGTGTTGCCAACTCATCATTTCTAAATTATGCTATAACCAGTTCAAAAAATGGCTAGATATGGCTAAATAATATTTTTTAAAAAATGCTAAATATGGCTAAAAAAAATAAAATAAAATGCTATGAAAAATGCCAGAAAAAAATGATAAATTATTTTATTATATAAATATGCAATATCAACGTCAACATAATAGGTATTAATAACAAAAACAATTTATATGCATTGGTTATTACCAAAGAAAGATTATAATATTGAGACCATATTATTAACATTTTCAGACTTTTGAAAATTAAAACAAACTTATAACATCAATAAAACAATATTAAAGTATAATAATATAATAAGTACATATTATGTAATATCATTATAGGTAATATTAGAAAAAACAAAAACAATATTTAGGTATATGCATAGGTAGTGAAATATTAAAAAAAAATATATTGAGACCATATTATTAACATTTTCAGACTTTTGAAAATTAAAACAAACTTATAACATCAATAAAACAATATTAAAGTATAATAATATAATAAGTACATATTATGTAATATCATTATAGGTAATATTAGAAAAAACAAAAACAATATTTAGGTATATGCATAGGTAGTGAAATATTAAAAAAAAATATATTGAGACCATATTATTAACATTTTCAGACTTTTGAAAATTAAAACAAACTTATAACATCAATAAAACAATATTAAAGTATAATAATATAATAAGTACATATTATGTAATATCATTATAGGTAATATTAGAAAAAACAAAAACAATATTTAGGTATATGCATAGGTAGTGAAATATTAAAAAAAAATATATTGNATATATTGAGACCATATTATTAACATTTTCAGACTTTTGAAAATTAAAACAAACTTATAACATAAATAAAACAATATTAAAGAATAACATATCAAAATAGTATTCTTATATTTATATTTAAATCCATAATTCATCGGTATCAGGGGGATCCTCTTCTTGATATTCAACATCATTGTTACTGGTACTGGGATCATACATTGTTGAAGTCATTGCATTGGAACTGTAAGTCTGTAAGGTACCAATTTTTTTCAATACATCTGGTGGAAATTGATATTTTAAGCAGCACGTGTTTCTTCTCCTTAGGCCAGATTTAATTGTAAGGATAGAGTCCAACAATTTTGTACCCATCTTATTTCGGGTTTTTGTTTTTATGATGTTCATTTGGCTAAAAAGCCTTTCAACTTCCGCATTGGACCAAGGTAGCACTAATAACTTCAACGCAAATTCACTTAATTCAAAAAATGGATTTGTGCCCGATGAATCTCGATACATTGACACTTCATACCAAAATGAATGTGTATCAGTTTTTTCAATCCATTTAATATTTGTTATATTATTCCACTGTACATTTATTTTACCAATAGTTTCAATATCAATATCCATCATTTCCATGAGTGGTATAAGTGTATCTTTTACTACTTTGAGTGAGTTTGATACTGATAACAATGAAATATTTTCTAGGATATTAATGTTATGCGGGAGTCTTTGTTGTAATTGCTTACCTAGGTGTAAAATAAATGATACGCATCTATCTCTCAATAATTTTTCACTCTCAGGGTTAATATTTGAGTCCTCTACAGTTTTTTCAAAACTATACCCTAGGTAAGGTTTAGGATTTAAATAATCTTCAATCCTTACTGTTAAGAAATCTTCCCTGCACATGGGTGTAACAATTTTTCTTACAGTAGATTTTACTAAATTTGTTAAATCACTAAGTAATTTACATGGATCTGCGTTATTTGATTCAAATGATTTATTAACAATTTGCACTTCTTCAAGTATAGGCTTTAAAAATCTTAAATAAGCTAAATTTTTACTATCTGAATACATTCCATATAAAACTTCTGCTGTGTAACATTTTTCCTTCAATCTAGCAATACCAAATAACGTCTTAAGCTCAAGCCATTGTTCCAAAATTCTAGAAACTGCAGATTCTATAGATAGCCATCTTGTACCACAAGCTCTTACTATCTTTAAAGGGTTATGACCATTATTTATTGCCTTAAAAAGATCCTTGTACTGACTTTGCCTTAGTGTTGAATGCGAAAACCAATTAAATGTTTCTTTAATTAAGAAGTCTATGTACCTTGGTAATGCTTCAGATGCAGCACTTGACACTGCAAGTTGCAGAGAATGACACACACATGGAATTAATATAAGAGATGGGATTTCTAATTTAAGTTTTTGGTAAACTCCATTATTTACACCAACCATAACCGAAGCATTGTCCGTTCCTATTCCTACCAAGTTTTTTAATTGCAGCCCTTTATTATGAATTGCATCCTTTAACGCATCAGTAATTGATTGAGCATCACAGTTTGTGATTTCAACCAATGATAAATAAGTAGAAATAGTTTTTCCCATTTCTCGGTCAAAATATATTACTGTAATGCCGAGAAATTTAGTAACACTGATATCTGTTGATTCGTCTATCAGGATACTATATGGATTTTTACCAATGCTTTGCATCAGGGAACTTTCGAAATGAGGTGCGAAAACATTAATAATAATATTTGTGCATTTGGTTCTGTGTAGCTTAAAATCCTTAGCAGCTACACTGTCGCCAAATGTACTATGACAAAGAGTTCCCAAATGGTCGATGGGTAAGATTGAACAGTGTACTGCGATAAATAAGCTCAGACTTGCTTCAGCTTCATTAACTTTTATTGATGGAGGTTTACAGAAATCCGTTAAACTTCTTGAACTGGATAATAATTTTGTAGCCGAAATGTGTTTTGAAGTTTTGGCGTGTTGTTTAATATCATAAAATTTAGCATTTACCTCAGTTTTGCAGTACCGACACCGTCCTTTACAATCATCTCCTTCAACTGCTACTAACCAATCTTTAAATAATGTATTCTGCAACCATTCTTTTCGGAACTTCTGAGTGTATTGAGGCTTACCCATTTCAAATTTGTATTTAATTAGTATGTACACAATTAAATTAAACTAAAAAACGTTAACGAATAAACTTAGAAACGATATCAAAGAATTGAACTTGTCTATGGAATTATGTATGTAGTTTAAACATTTATTTGTGTGGGAAGTTAGTTGGTTTATCACTAATTCCCTAAAATAAAATGAAAAATGCTTTTTTTTGTTGAATATTCTTGTAAAGCAAAAAAGTAGTTATATGCCAAATATTTTTTTTTAATATGCTAGATTTATAGCTAGTTGCTAGATGTAAAATCTAGTGGCCATGTCAGCACCGAAATATGCTAGTTTTAGCCATAAAATGGCTGAATTGGCAACACTGGGGCTGCGCGATTATTTTATTTCCATATAATCGATATGTTTGAAATAATATCGATTATAATCGGTATAATCGGTTATTTTGTATTCATAAATTATAATCGATACTTAAATATTATAATCGATTATAATCGATATTAATCGGTAAGTATTCTATAATCGGTTATAATCAATACTTTAACTATAAACTATTAATCGAAAGGTACATAAAAAAAAAATTATAATCAATACAATTTTAAAACCAATTAATTATAATCTAAGAAGCATATGTAAGTTTTAACAACTATTTTGCTGTTCCTAGAAAAAATTTTAAAACTTTTTTAATGTATAATTTATTTACTATTCTAGAACAGTAATAACAATGAAAGATTATCTTAGTACATATTAGTATAATAGGTACTACTAGTAACTTTTTAAAATATTAATGTATAACTTGATCAACTTATTTTGTAAATAAATGAATTTAAATTAAATCAAATTCCTCATAAATATTAAAATAAAATCACACTGTATTGTAAAATCATAAAAAAGAAAATAAATATTTAAAATATTTTATAATAATTATTTATTTAAAATATTGGCTTGGGGACATAGTCCTTATTCATCGTTAAGTATATGAGTTGGCTTGCATGTTCATTACTTAATGATGATCTTAGATCTGTTAGAATACAGCCACCTTTGCTGAACACACGTTCAGAGGCTACACTTGTAGCTTGCACTGTCAAACATTTTTCTGCTAATAAAGATAACATTGGATATGTATCTTTATTCATATTCCACCATTCCAGTGGTTCTTGATCGAAGTTACAATTCGGTATTGTAAGGTATAAGTTTAACTCACTTTCAATCTTCATTCTTAGGGTAATGGTAATTTCCTGAAATCATAAACATTCATAATTGATATAGTTTTTTAAGTGTTTTGTATTTATGATTATAGATTTGCAATTCTTACTTGAATATTATGAACATTTTCAATTTCTGGAATGCAAAAAATTGCTGATATTCCGGTTTTCCTTTTTTTTTGTCCAGCTGGTTGACTCCTATAACTTCTATCTGATGTTTCATCATTTGTACTTTTTTTAAAATTTGTTTCACATAGTTCAATTATTTTTGTGTTTAACTCTGATAAGTCATCATGTGGTATAAATTTAATTTTAAATCTAGGATCTAACGTGGAACAAATCATTAAAGTTGTATTGTTTGTATAACGCCTCTCTAGAACATCAATAATAGCCGAATACATATTTTGAATTAGTGGTCTGTTTAAATCTGTGTCTGTTCGTTCTACCACTTCTGATAATTTCAACTTGAGAGAAGATACTATTGGAAGTATTGCTGAGCCTGTCACATACGAATCACCTGCCAAATTGTCTGTTATCTCACGAATTGGTTGTAAAATTAATTTAAGGTTCTTCAATCATCAGACTCTTGAAAAATTAAATTTGTATAGTTACCATTTTTATAGGTACGAAGAAAACTAGCAAGACCAAGATCTTGATCAATTATAACGTTTATTAATTCTAACATTGACCACCACCGAGTCTTAGAATAGGATGGAAATTTTTTTTGTGGAAGGCTAAATCTTTCTTGAACTATTTCCATTTCCCTAGCAGCTTTCCAGCTATGCGCAAATATATTATGGATTGACTTTACTTTATTTACAACATCCTTCACACTATCCAAATTTAAAATAACTGAAACTCCTATATTTAGAGCATGACCAAAACAGTCCACATGTGGTATACTCAAATTATTGACAGCCTTTAACATATTAGAGCCGTGGTCGGTTGTAATCGAACAAATTTTCCAGTCTGGTATTTCATAGTCCAAAATGAACATTTGTAAAACATCTGCAATATTGTCTCCTGTATGGTCTTCAGATAACTCAATACAACCCAAACAGGCAGAGTTTAATTTGAAATTAGTATTAAAGTGACATGTCATTGCAATAAATGGTTTGTTTGAACTTGACGTCCAGCAATCTGTAGTAAAAGATACATAATTTGCTTTTTCTATAATTTGTCCGACATTATTACGTGTTTCTATATAAAGCTTAGGAATTCGAGATTCTGTTACTGTTTTTCGACTAGGTAGTTTGTAACTTGGATTTAATGCGTTGACAAAAAGTTTAAAACCTTCTTTTTCCACCACATTATACGGTGTCATACTAGTAGCAATAAAGTATGCAAGGGCGTTATCAATTTTAGTTTTAGAGGTTTTATTTAGAGTGAATTGCGTCATTTTTGTTTGCTTATTTGTTATGTTTGAACTTGACTCTTCAATAATAGTACTAGTAGCTGTAGATGGATTAAGTGAATCAAAAACAAGAGGTTGACTAAAACTTGAAGTTGATGGATTTAAGTTTAGTTCTGAATTTGAAGAAGATTGTGTTGAATTCGGTTCATCAATATATCTAACAAAAATATTATAATATACTATAGGGTTTTAAAATTGCATGAAATATTTAATTTCTATGAAAAACAAAAACAAAAATGTTATTATATGTATATCTTAATGTTTATAGCTGTCAACTTGCAAGTGAAAATTATTAAAAGTTGTTTTATTGTATGAAACAAGACTGGGAATTAACGCATTAACAAGTTTAAATTAAGTTAATTTAACTTTTTAACTTAAGAGGACGCCACACCGAAAGCGAAACGTATACAATGACCGAGAGAACGCGCTGTTAGGTGTTTTCGCGATGCGCAAGCACGCGACGTTTAAGCCCCGCCCACCACTCGTCGTCGGCGGCCGGCCGACGATTGTGCTCATTCAGAGCGATGATTATTATATTCTTAACCTTCGTCTGTGGAGGATCGCGTAAATATAAAATGCATAGGTACACGTTACACGTACATTATGCCGCATTGCCGCCGTAATATTTTTAATAATCGCGCGTACTTACGCGACCTGTATTTATTGCATTTTTAGATACTTACTCAATAATAAATATATACAATATACCTACTAATACAGTAAATAATATCTAATTTATAACAGTAACCTTTTTAGTAAGTAAATAAGGTAATATTTAATTGAATATATTGGATATTTGTCCAATTTGTAGTGTGAATTATAAAATAGCATAACTTTTATTGCGT